AGACTCCTAAGCCTGCTTTGCGATGCAGTTTCAGACCAGGCTTGCTCTGGACAGTGCCAGTTGTGCTTCAGCACATGAATCAGCCTGTCTTTTTGGCAAGATAATGCACAGCACTGCGCCGCCCAGCCAGCTCCTGAAGCTCTTGCAACGTCTGGGGCTCTGTCAGGGTTTCTGACCTGCTCCCAAGGACGCAGGCTTGTGCCCTTAACCTGTCTCTGGAAAACTGCACGGTGATTGTGTCTCCCTTTGTGAAGGTGCTTTTGATTTGCTGAGTTGCACTGTTGAAGGTGTGCTCGTGGGCTGAACCTGCAGATGGCTGCGTGAACAGTGCTGTTGGCTTTAGCAGAGCCTCTTAAACCAGAGAGAATCTGCAAGGTCTGCTCCCAAACTGTTGCACTTTGGTGTTACCAGGTGGTAGAGTGCCTTGACTAACTGATAAATCAGTCCTGGTGCCTAGGGATTCCCATGCCGGGCAGAACAGTTCCCCTACATGAGGTTGAGGGTGTCTGTGGCTTGGCTAGAAACATGGGTGTAACTTCACAGTGCCGCCTTGCTGCCATCCAGAACTGGAAATCACTTCAGAGTGTGCTTCCTTTGTGCTGGTGGGAGGCTGTGCCCCCAACCCCTTTCCTGGGGGAAGGCAGCCGTAGCCAGAGCCCCAGGCTGGTGCCTCCCCCTCGGGTTAGAGGGAGGCAGTGGACAATTTGCCATGGAGTTCACGCAAGACTTGGTGCAATTGTGAATGACTTTAGGATGCCCTCTGCTAGCCGAAGAGGCCTTTTGTTGGGGGTGGGAATCCTCTAGGGAAAATAGAATAACTTTTTTTTTCCAACTGGCTTTGTATAGTACTGCTTGACTTAGTAATTCTGGGAGAAGGTGCGTTTTGATGGCTAAATATTACAAATCAGGGCTGTTTGTCTCGGCGATGTCCTTATATACAGCAACCTGTGCAACAATGGGTAACTGATCGTTTTCTGAAGCCTGTGGAAGTGTCAAGCAATATTCCTGAAGTTTGTTAAATAAATTTCTTTGAATTAAGGTAACTGTAACTCTCTCTTCTTATATTTAGATTTTGGGGTGCAGATCTAAAGGGATGAGTGGGGTTTATGTAATCCCCCAGGCATGATTCTGTGTGTTTACCCAGCTAGACCGACGAAGAAACAACTGCTTGGCGCTTTGCCGAGCTCTGACCAAGGGAGCTGAGGCCGCTGCACACTCCCCTCTCCTTTCCCCTCCAACATGTCCACACCAACCCAAGCAGCCAGCCCTTGCGTTCTTGCCTTGCAAAACAAGTCAGCTCTGCTGCTTCGTGGGAATTAGAGATAACCTTGTAGGCTCTTAATGATTTCCTGCTGTTGCATGTGCTCTGTTTACCAGCTAAAGAGCTCTTTCCTGTGTCCTTCACCTCTCTTTTCCCACACCGCACCCTGTGTTTGGAGCATCCTTGCTCTTTTTTCCCCAGCTCTGCTTATTTAGTCTGCAGAAGTGGTATCTGAGTACAAACATGTTTATACAAGTTTTTTTTTTTTTTCCCCAGCTCACTGTACTACCAGGTTTAGATAAATGTCAGGAAAACACATTTCCAGCTTCACCACTGCATTAGTTTATGTAATCTCAAGTAAGTTAATTAGCACCCGGTGTTCTTTTTCTGATGGGAGAGGTCATTGGCTTGTCTCAGGTGGTTTAATATCTCTTAAAAACAGGGTAATGAGCATCACCTCTTGTTAATGAGCTGTTTAGACTTGCTTAGTTACTTTAATTGCAAACTTGTGCACAAACCATTGCTTGTGGCTAAGAATAAGGAAATAGTGGTACAGGGCATGCAGCTAGGGAGATATCATGGGTTGCTATGGGTGTTTTGGGTTTAAGCCCACAGCATCTTCATCAGCTGTGCTTGGAGAGACACCTGGTTTGGGGGCTGAGCTTTGCTGGCTCTTGTGAGTCAGGAGAAGGCAATTGCAGGCAGATGACTGTCCTCACCTGCCTCCTCTTCCCCTCTGCTGGGGCCTGTGCTGAGCAGGTAATGGCCCTTCTTCTAAACCTCACTCATCTTCCACCTGTGAGAAGGGTCTTGTTTCTGGGTGAAAGAAAGGTCTGCCCTGGGGGGTGTTCTGGAAGGGGTGTTGGCTGGATTCCTAGGGCTTCTTACCTTCATGTGGACCCAACTCCCTGAATTGGCAGCACCCCTTCCTGAAATGGTTCATTTCTGCTTCCCCGATGACCACTGAGGCGTTGCACAATAATTATTCAAGGCACAGCAATGCTGTTTTTTGCTTCTGACAGTTTTGCTGGGAACTTCCTTGTTGCTGTGTTGGGAGAGAAAATCCATTAATCACTTCCCCTTAAATTCAGCCTTAGATCTTAGACTGCTGCTGTTGTGCCTGCTGGAGCTGCTGCCTGCACCACTGGCTTCCCGGGGTACCTGGAATGAGTAGCCAGAGGCTGTCACCTGGACAGCAATAACCACTTCTCTGAAAGATGGTACTCAAGTCCCAGTTGCTGCTAACGCAGGCGTGCGCTACGCCGAACGCCGAGGAGCCAGTACAGAGAAAGGGAAGTTGAACTCTGAATAAGGAGTTTTTGCCCAGCCTGTGTCGGTAGTTTCAGACCATTGACGCAGGACTCCGCATGCCTTGCACCCGTTCATCTCCCTTTTTCTGCACTGCTCACTGAGATTTACTTCCCTGCTCCTCTTCGCCTGCTTATAAACATGTTGGCGTTCCTGGAGCTAAGTAGCTCTTTTTGTTAGTATTCTTCAGTACAATTAATCGAGATCCCTGGCAGGTCACGGTGCTTCTGCATCGCCGTTGCAGCAGATCCCACTACGGTGGTGTTTGGCAGCAGCTCTCTGCATCCAGGTCATAGCACCATAATGCCTGGGGCCGCCTGCTTCTGGCAACTGCCCAGGTGGACTTGCTCTTCCCAAAGAGCTGAGGACTCTGAATGCCAGCTGACATCCAAGGGTTTGTATGGAGCTCTTCATACAAACCAAGCCAGTGCCCGATGCCTGCAGCAAACATGTAATACAAAATCTGGCAATACTTCCTCTTTTTGGTTGTTTCAGGCAAGTCAAAACAAAATGGCCATGTAAAACAATAACTTATGCTAGAACTTTTTTTTTTTTTAAATAGAAAAACCAGCAACGTTTTAC